AACCACAACCACAAACACACAACCACCAACACGACCACAAACACACACCCACAAACACAACGACAAACACACAACCACGATCGCAACCACAAACACACAAGCACCAACACGACCACAAACACACAACCACAAACACAACCACAAACACGCAACCACAAACACACTACAAACACACAACCACCAACACACCACCACAAACGCACAACCACAAACACAACCACAAACACACAACGAAAAAACACACAACCACAAATACAGAACAACACAACCGCAAACACACAACCACCAACACGACCACAAACACACACCCACCAACACAGCGACAAGCACACAACCACGATCACAACCACAAACACACAACCACCAACACGACCACAAACACAAAACATCACACAACCACAAACACAACCACAAACACACAACCACAAACACGCAACCACCAACACGACCACAAACACACAACCACAAACACGCAACCACTACTACTCTACTACTACTGCTCGGGCCCCGGAAGCTTCCCAGGTTCGGGCCCCGAAGCTCGGGCCCCGAACTGTGTCCAACAGCAACCACTACTACCACTACCACTACTACTCCTACGACGACGACGACGACGACGACGACGACGAGGACGACGACGAGGACGAGGACGAGGACGAGGACGACGACGACGACGACTACCCTAAGGATCCGAGAATCTACTTTTCATGGCTGCCAGCCACTTTCCAAGGTTCTGGCCCCCTAGAAGCCAATGCTGGAAGATAAGATTTGTGGCTGGCAGCTAGGATTCATGGCTGGCAGCCACAAATCTTATCTTCTCAAAACTGGCTGGCAGCCATGAAAAGTAGATTCTACTTCTAAATGTGGCTTCTGCCCAAACTCATGTTACCACCTCCAAGAAGCGCTTCTGGGAAGCCACTTTTTGTGGCTTCCCAGAAGCGCTTCTTGGAAACAAGATATTTGATATGTTGCAGCTGTTTGGCTTTAAGCAAGCTAGGTATAGATGTCAGGAGAAGCAACGCTGCCCATCCCCCAGCCTGCAATAAAGGCAGATATCAGCAAGCTGGTGGCCTTTGCAAAAGGCTTCCCTGACTCTTGCAATGCAAACCTGTGGCCAGCTGACCCTGAAGAAGCCTGCACAAGGCATGCATTGTTTTTGGGTGTGTGGTTCAAGCATGGGGCTTTGAGCAAGCCTGTGGAAAGGCAAGCAATGAAAGAAGCCAACCATAAATTGACCACATCAGAATGCAAGTTGATCGTGAACCAAATTCATGAATGCAAAAACTTTCTGAGAAGAAAATGGAAAAATCTCAAGACTGGAGAAAAAACCTCTGGTCTATTGATGGGTTTGATGCAAAGTCTGTTTGGCACTCCACAGCCTGCAGAAAGGCCAGTGAGAAGGCTTAACCAGAAGACACCAAAAAAGAAAGCCCTTCAGCCTGCAGAAGAGAAGCCTGAGCAAGGCCCAGCACCTATCACTTTTTTAGAATCCCCAGCTGCCATTCTACCATCAGACCAAGAGGTGGTGGAAATCGAAAGTACAGCTGCAAGCACAGCAGTGTCACAACAAGATCTGGAGCCTGCAAAAAGGCCATCATGCAAAAAAGCGCCAAAGAAAGTGCCAGCCTGCAAAAGGCCAAGTGCAGCAAGCAAAGCCAAGGCATGTTGGAAGAAGAGCCTTTCCTTTGGGTTTGTTAAGGAAACCAAAGCTTCAAACAAGGCTTACATTGTGTCCAAGCCTGAAGAAGGCAGCAAGCCAACTTGCCTGGTGAATGTGCAATTGCCTAGGGGTCCTGACCAAGACAGAGTCATGTCTGCACTTATGGCTAAAGCCTGCGAAGAGGCAAGCCTGGAGAAAAAAGCAGCTGGTCTCATACAAAGATCAGCTGCTGAAGGACTCGCCAGCACAGCCTGCATAAAGGCATTCCTTGGTGAGGATCAAGGGACAGACAGCACAAAGGCCACTGGGGAGAAGCCTGAGCAAGGCACCATTGGCTTGCACAGCCTGCATGAAGGCCAGCTTTAGATTCCAGCCTGCACAAAGGCCCTTACTGTACAGTTCAGCACTTGCTCGCTGTGGTTTTTGAAAAAAGAGCCTATGTAGGGTAGGGCACAGCCATGTTTAAAAGAACTGTTTTGTGTTTTGGGGGGCCACTGTTTAAAAGGGGGTTCATGAACCGATGGCTCAAGAAGCATGCACAAATCCCATGGACATGTGCACAGCAACACACAGCAACACACCACATACATACACTCTACCATGACAAACCGAGACAGCTCCATGCCACACACACACTCCACACCAATGACACACTTTGAAGCACCATGCATGCCTGTGCAACATGCATGTTTTGTGTATCATGTCGATGAAAAACACACAAACCCACAGAGACATATCTTCACGCAGCCATATTTTTGTAACACTTCATGCTTCAAACTTCAGGTGCCCACACTTTCAACTTTCACAGACTCACACATGACATTTGCAAATCACATGTATACACACTTCCATTTCATACACACTTCACAGCTCATAGATTTACACACAGCTTATATAGGGCACAACCAGGGTAGGACAGATTGCTTTGGCCATGGCTTTCTTGTTCCACCTGCCCAGCCTGAACAAGGCCTTGCTCTTGATTGTGGTGTTGAGCCTGCAGAAGGCAACTCTCCTGGAAGGGGTCCAAGGCAGCTTTCCCTGGTGGAGGGTGAGGCTGTTCAGGGGCACTAGGTGGTTGTGGGATGTGGATTCCCAAGCCTGGACAAGGCTCACCAATGACCAAGAGCAAGAACTGGATTGCCTGGAGTTCGATGAGCCTGAAGTAGGCCAATTTATACAGCACCAATCCCAACAGTGTGGATACACTGGGGATTGGTCAGTTGATGCTGCCCCACCTGTCTGGGATAGGTGGGCTGAAGGTTGGGTAAGGCATCAGCCTGGACAAGGCTCTGGTCACCAAGAGCCTGAACAAGGCAGATCTTCTTCTTGGAGGTCCCATGACCAGCCTGAACAAGGCACATCTTCTTCTTGGAGGTCCCATGGCCAGCCTGAACAAGGCACATCTTCTTCTTGGAGGTCCCATGGGCAGGCTGAGCAAGGCAGATCTTCTAGTTGGTGGTGCAATGAGCCTGAACAAGGCAGATCTTCTTCTTGGAGGTCAAGTCCAGAGCCTGAGCAAAGGCAGCCAAGGTACTCAAAGGTTGAGCCTGGAAAGGCCCAGTGGCAATACTGGGATGATTGGTCATCAGAGGATGAATCTTCCCATTGGGATGATGACCAATGGGAAGATTGGAGGGGCTATGCTGATTGGCAAGATTGGAATGAAAGCCCGTATGAGGGCAACCCTAGGTGGCTGAGCAGGGGCCCAGTGTCAGCCAAAAGAAGGTTTGAAAGGAGAAGGCTGATTCAAAGGGGTGAGCCTGTACCAAGGCATTTGGAGCCTTATGATTGGGTTGCCAATTGTGAGAACAAAGAAATGAAAAGAGAAATTCACAGGTGGCAGCAGCAAGCCATGGCGATGGAAAGGCAGGAGAGGGCAAGAAGAGGCCTTGCGCCTGGACCAAGGCAGTGCAGGGCAAGAAGCAAAAGCCAGCGCAGACCAAAACCTCCAGAACCTCCTAAACCAAGGAGGGCTCAGCCTGCACAAGGCACACCAGCCCAGCCTGAACAAGGCCAATTCCAGCCAACAGCTACAAAAGAAGAGACAGTTCCAGAAGGCAAAAAGCCCAAGCCCAATGCAGAAAGTGCACCAAAGCCTGCAGATGCTGAGCAGGCAGTGGAGCCTGAGCCTGCAGGAGGGCAGAATGAGCAGCCTGCACAAGGCCAGAATGAGCAGCCCAAAAAAGGAGATGATGCTGCTCATGATGGTGCTGATGATGGAGGCATTGAGGATTTCTGAGTGAGCACTGCACAGCTCAAGCCTGAACAAAGGCCAGCACACCCCATACCTAAAGCCTGAACCAAGGCCAATTCCACCACTTGTCAGCTCAAGCCTGAACAAAGGCCAGCACACAAGCCTGAACAAAGGCCAATTCCACCACTTGTCAGCTCAAGCCTGAACAAGGCCAGCACACCCCATAGCTGAAGCCTGAACAAAGGCCAACTCCACCACTGGTCAGCTCAAGCCTGAACAAAGGCCATTCAAAACCACAGCTGTCTTCTTAGCCTGGATAAAGGCTTGTACAGAAATGGAGCTTTGGCAGCCCTGCAAAAAAGCTCTTTGGGTGGGGAGTGGGGTTTTGTGGTTGGTTGTTGCTGGTGGTGGTGGTGGCTGTTGGATTAGGGGAAGCCTGGAACAGGTATACTACT